TAAAGAAGGGGGGGTGGTAAAGAAGGGGGGGGGTGGTAAAGAAGGGGGGGGGGGTGGTAAAGAAGGGGGGGGGGGGTAAAGAAGGGGGGGGTGGTAAAGAAGGGGGGGGGGTGGTAAAGAAGGGGGGGGGGGTGGTAAAGAAGGGGGGGGGGGTGGTAAAGAAGGGGGGGGGGGGTGGTAAAGAAGGGGGGGGTGGTAAGAGGGGGGGGTGGTAAAGAAGGGGGGGGGGGTGGTAAAGAAGGGGGGGGGGGGGTGGTAAAGAAGGGGGGGGGGGGGTGGTAAAGAAGGGGGGGGTGGTAAAGAAGGGGGGGGTGGTAAAGAAGGGGGGGTGGTAAAGAAGGGGGGGGTGGTAAAGAAGGGGGGGTGGTAAAGAAGGGGGGGGGTGGTAAAGAAGCGGGGGGTGGTAAAGAAGGGGGGTGGTAAAGAAGGGGGGGGTAGTAAAGAAGGGGGGGGTGGTAAAGAAGGGGGGGTGGTAAAGGAGGGGGGTTGGTAAAGAAGGGGGGTAGTAAAGAAGGGGGGGTGGTGGTAAAGAAGGGGGGGTGGTAAAGAAGGGGGGGTGGTAAAGGAGGGGGGGGGTGGTAAAGGAGGGGGGGGGGTTGGTAAAGAAGGGGGGGTGGTAAAGAAGGGGGCGGGGTTGGTAAAGAAGCGGGGGGGGGGGGGACCAGAACCGATTGAGATATCAACTCGGCACCGATCTTGGCTCTGGTCGGGAATCGAACCTCGCCCGTGAGGCTCGGAGCGCGGTCCGCTCACTGCCGCTTCACCGGTGCCCTCCACCCCCCCCCTCCACTCCAGCCACACACGACGGTCGGCAGTTTTTGTTGGCTTACTGTAACTGGCAAAACAAAGCGTTAACAAACACAGCGTACGCTTTAGACCCGGAGCGTTGGGTTTTGCGTAAAGACGACAAACCAGCGAACTCGACGTGCACGCGCTCCTGCGTCAGCTGCAAGAGCGTTCAGACCGCTCGTCACACGCAGACGATGCCACCGCCGTCCCCGCCGGCCCCGCCGGCCCTGCGTAGAGGCAGTGTGTGTTCATTTAGCCGATGGCGCGGCGCTGGCTCCTTTTCGGAGCAGACAAATTTCGTCTGGAGATGTAATTCGAGATGCACGTCTTTCGCACAGTACGTAGGCAACCGTGCTAATAAGAGGTGCGGAGAGGTGGGGGGGTGGAAGGACAGCAAACTAAACACAAAAAGCAGTTCGGAAGAAATTAGTTTTCGATCGGCATTTAAAAGTGCATAGCTCCCAGTGGCTTCCTAATATCGGTTAGGAAGAACGTTCCAGACGGCCGCAGAAGCGCATCTGGAAAGCCCGCGATGCAGTGACCGTCTTTGTTCGACGGTTCGCCGAAAGCCGCTGCAAGTGAGGATGGCCTGAGTTCGCGTGATGATGGTTTATGCTAATTGACGAGATCGGCAAGGTATTGTGGTTCATTTGTGGCAAGCACTTTCGTGCGCGATGAGCGCGCAAACCGTATGCTGCTCAGCCACATGCCTGCTGCAGGCGCAGTCCACCCGTGTTCTCTTACACGGAGCTTTGCCCGCTCTCCGACGCGGCTTTTGGATTGTGCCGTGTGCTGTTCAGCACCGTGTCCGACGTTTTTGCGGGGTGCTTCTTCTTCAGCAACCGCAGTTGGAGGGCGACGTCGCTATGTGTGATCCCAATTGCACTTGGCGACATCGAACCGAGCTTCTGCAGGAACTGAGGCACCCAGCACATGGCGCAAACCGTCGGACGTCGTGCCAAACGATGCGCAGTTCAACGGAGAGCCGTACAGCGGCACCATCGTGAAGGCCAATGCACACTGCTCTCACTGTTTGCTTATTTGCACCTTTGTTAATTATACTTTTATTACCCACCATAATGAATCATTTGTTAGATGTATCTTTATTTGTCTAAACTAATGAGGTCATCTGTCCACGAAAGGACTATTGATTTTGGGTGTTTGGTTAACGTTTTGGAGAGGCGTCTTCCCCCCCTCCTCGCCATCAGTTTAGATTCAAAGCTTGTTTTACAACTTAGAACTATTCAAGCTTTCAAGGATGAGAGGGACCCGGGTTATTTAGCACAAGGCACCTCCCTCTTTCTCTCTCGCAGGAGGGCGTGACCTGCGGTCACAGGCAAGCTGCTAGAGAGTCGGGAGGGGGGATGTATTCACGGCACACGCAGGACCCTTCGGCCGCTCCGAACCTACGCAGCGCAAGAAAGATTCAGCACATCCGTCAACCACACTGTGGCCTTAACCCCCCTTTTCCCATTCCGATGATGTACGTCATCAAATAAAATTACTTTATTGGTAGCGAGGCTCCCCCAAGGCCATGCGGGAGGTGGCTCCGGCTGGAACGCACAGGGCATTACAGTTTGGCGCCAGCTATCGTAGAGTGTGGTCGTGCCGTTAGAGTTCTCTGCGGTGAATACGATGTGTTTACAAACGACGGCTCTACGCCCCTCTAAATACAATTAAACGCAAACCGCTTGCGCGTTCCGAGATGCAGCAGTGAACGGGACCCTGAAGCTGGCAGACGTCTCGAAACGGAAAAGTTTTAAAATGAAAAAAAAGTATAATCGGTGATGTTTTGGGCAATGACCCTTCGTAATGACACATCTATTTATTGATACGCCACTCGAATAATGGCGAGAAATAATGGGCCATGCCGACGGCAAGCTAAATCAAGGCGTCCGCGTGCCTTTCCCGCCAGTTTCAATCGCGCCCGTTAAAATATACTTTCACATTTTCCTTCGCTAAGATGCGTAATCAATCTCGCTTCGGCAACGAAGCGAGAGGGTCGTGAAAAACCAGTGAGGTATCCATAAATGGATCACCCTTGTATTATACAGTATACGCAAACGTCCTCCTACGTGCAAACACCGCTCGCCAACGCAACCTTCCCAAGCGTTTCTTTCATGTCTCGCATCCGCAGTTGTCCCCTCCCCCCGTTGAGCCCAGCCGTGCCTGACCTTCGAAGCCGGGGAGGAGTGCACGCCTGGCCAGCGTCTGCCATCGCCAGCTGCCACGAACGAGCACGTCGTCGCTTGCTCGCGAAGGCTAAAACTGACTCGTGCCAGACGTCTGGCCGGCGTGGGAGGCTCGGCCAAATACCCGTCGGGGAGGAGGGCTCTGTGAAGCGCCCCTACAAGTTGGAGAGACCCTTCCGCCCGCAGTGGCTCGAGCCAGCAATTGCAGGGCTGCACCTTTACCGCAACACACTCCTCTCTGGATGTATGCTGCGTAGCCAACCGTGCTAATCAGAGGTGCGGGATATTTAGAGCTGGAATTATTGCTTGATTAAGTTGATAGAAAAATCGGTTAAGACATTTTAGTAGACTTTACTCGGCCCCTTGAAAATTGATGGCCGACCCCACATTTTTCCTCCTGAAGGTGGGGACCCGCCCCCACGCCACCCCCCCCCCCCCCCCCACAAACCACGGCCAGCGTCACGCGCCTGATAATGTCGATGATGCCAAAGCCCCATCCATCACCTCCCGTCCAGCGGCACGTGTGAACAGAGGTGGAACTTTTTTTTTCTTCCAACTATAGCATATTCTTCTCCTCCTTAACCGGGGCTCTATTTGTCCAATTGTTTTAGCAATCAAACCGATAATCGGACAGGGCCACGGATTACCTAAATAATTGGACAGCGTAGCTCTGCAGATATGACGCACGAACCCTTTTGGCCCAGGCATTCACATGCGTGTGACCATTTTGCTCGGAGACGAGGGGTGGAGGTCTATGGCGTTTGGCGACCTCAGTTAAATTGGCCCTCGTCAATCGGTGAGCTCCGCATGGGCAGTTCCACAAGTTGGGCAACGGTCACGGATGCAATTTTTTTTAAATCGCCTTAAATAGGAATTATGGTTTTAGCGAACGTTGCGTATTCACGGGCGAAGTTGGTGGTTTCGACACGCGCGGTGCCGAATATGCACCATCGCCAGCCCAGCTTGGAAGAATGAGTCGGGTTCGTCGGAATGCATCCGGCATGACGGTGGTGCTTTGCGAGCTGTGTTCCGGTTCTAATCGGTTGCCAGACTGCGCCCAAGTAAACATCCACTTCACGATTGAAAGCGGACGAATGCTCTCGTCTTCAAAGCGTTCAAAACCGTGGAGCTAATTGTATGTAATAGACTGCATCGTAGTTGCATGTGGACAATACAAGAAGCAGATAAGGTCCAAAAATCACCAACATGCTGCCAAATTGTATTCACCCACTCATTGGCCCCTGAGTCAGCAGTGTTCAGCTTGATAAGATCTCCGGGGAATCCGAGCGTGCAAAGAGCCGACATCCGTCCAGCATGCGTGCACACTTCTCCACATCTAAGGGGCCGTCCATAAATGACGTCACGCGATTTTGGACGATTTTTGACCCCCCCCCCCCCCACCTAGTCACACGGCGTCACAAAAAGTCAGACCCCCCCCCCTCAAATATGACGTCACAAAGCTCTGCCCCCCCCCTCCAAAAAATAAAACATGCTTCAATTCGCTTTAAACTATTGTCTTTGTAGTGCGTATTTAATGTGGCGCTGCACTCTGATGTTGTAGGAGAAAATATTTATTAAAAAGTCTATTTAATTAAGTAGAATGTGTTGTCTGTATTTATTTAAAGTTGCGCATTTTGATGTGACGTCACATTTCTCACCCCCCCCCCTTCTTCACACATCGTCACAAATGTCTGACCCCCCCCCCCCCCCCAGGTGCGTGACGTCATTTATGGACGGCCCCTAAACTTAAAACGAATCTATATTTTATTTCACCAGGTGAGGCCAACTGAGCTATATAGCTGTTTTTCAGAAGCGACCTGGTTGCAAATGATAATTCGACGAAGTGGCTTATCGCGTGGAAGTTGATAGCAGGCTCCAAAGCACTCTAAAGCACATGCTGAGTCTAAATGTGGAGTGAAAAACCCGGAGGACTCGGAGAAAAAAAAAATCCACGCCACCACGGGAGAGAGAGGAGAGAGAGAGAGCCACGCAAACTCCAAATATACAACAGGATCAAACCCACGACCTCCAGCATACCCGGCGAGGCAGCTAACATCTCGCCACCGCGGCCAACCGTTGACTTTAGCCGGCCGCAGAGAGGCGGTGCTGCACCTGGAGCATGACGCACGCTCGCCCAGCCACCCCTGCCCCACATCGCCCAGCCGCTCGCCACGCAACCCTCCGCCCTCTCCAGTGCACTTTAGTCACTTGCCGGATGCATGGATCGTGGCGTGGCGGCGTGGCGGGGGGGGGTTTTCCTGTGTTTTGTCACTGCTGGTTTCGCCGTGACGCGCCGAAGTTGAGAGACCCCCCCCACCACCACCACCCCCCCTGACCGTCACGGGACCCTCCGCCGTTTTACACCGGAGAGCAGCGTTGTGTGTGCGCGCGCGCGCGCGCGAGACCGCCGCCGCGTTCGTGAAGCTGGAGTCGATCGCGCGCGGTGCCGATGTTTAGCGGATTTACTCGGGCGAGCGCTGCGCAGCAGGTAACGCGCCGCTCTCTCATCCGTCGTCTTTCCATTAGTTTGCCGCCGCCGCCGCCGCTGCCGCTGTGTAGATGCCTTTTTAAATTTGTCGTGGCTCTCGTCGTCTGTGGTCTGCAGTTGAGTTTTTGAGGTTTTTTTTTTTATCCCCCCTCTTCTTCCGCTTGTTGTTATCCCCGCGTGCGGCACGGAGAAAAGTGAGCGGTTTGTTTCGCGGTGCCACGGAGCGATCGATCCATCTTGCCCCCTTGAGTTTGTCCTCCGCTTAGAAAACAAACGAACGAACGTTGTCGTTTAAAACAGGGCCGGGGCAATTATACGAGAGAGCAGTGGGGGGGTAGGGGGTTCGTTTCCACGTCCTGTTTATTTCTTTATTTTGATTTCTCCCTACGGATTTGGTCGTTTGGAGAATGCCGTGGCGGCGATTTTCGTCGCCACGGCGCTCGGGTCGCCTGGGAATTAATCGCTTCAGTTATTGCATGGCCACAGCGTGAGATTTGTATTCACCCGATTGTAGGTTTTTTTTAATGTTCGGATTCTGTGGACGTGAGCAGCTGGGAAAAGTGTGTGGGGGTGGGGGGGTTGCTGAGTTTGGGTGTTAGGGGGGTCGGATGCAATAATTCGGAGCGTGAAATGTCACGCCGCTGATTTTCAATGACACGTTGAAAGGGAGTTCATGCCTGTTCGAGTGCAGTTTGTTATCATCTGCTTGTTTGTAATTTAATACAAATTCCTCTTCAACTGGCTCTAGATCGACCTGTTTCCGCTATTTGTTTTTAGTGCCTTGAGATGCGCTTGTGAAGCACAAATTGTCGTGTTTCACGAGTGCAGTTGTTTTTTTTTTTACGAAATAAAACTGTAGAGACACGCGACATCTGTGTTCGGGGACCGCGGCTGCCGATTTGCATGCGGGGTTATTAAAAGGACTGGGCAGGGTTTGGCTTCCGTGTTGGGCTCCCAGTGGCTCCTTGCCCTGCAACATTTTTTTCCTCGCTCACGAATGCTGCGAGTTAATATTTTGTCTCGAGAGCCAATCAGATTTTTTGCTTTTATGTGCATTTTATTTTTAATTTTATTTTCTTATTTTTATTTTCTATCTACGTGACTTTACCGAAAGAACCAAGAATATGTTATATATGATTTTACCCATGATGCTCCACAACATTGCGTCATGAGTTTTGTATACAACTGTCGTTTAGATGGGAGTGCTCGTATCAATAACGTCCAGTGACCCCACAGAAGGTCGAAACGAGGCCACAGGTTGTTTGCTTAAACAAATGGGGCTCAATAAGATTTTGGTCTGGAAAGCCAATTGGCTGATGGGCCTAAAACATATATCTATATATGTGGAGTTCTGCTTATATACTTATATTTAGAAAAAAATGCTCCACGATAAAACATCGTGAGTTGCCCACCAAACACCGACTGTACTATTCCACCCTTTTCGCCACTGCAACCAAACTTTATTTTTTTAAATTCATAACTATTGTTGTGCTTTTAATTTACTCTCGAACAGCGTGATCTATGGCCAAGTAAACGGTCATTGAAAACAGCACGCGACCCTGTGAAAGTGTGTGATAAAAAATAATAATAAAAGCACAAACATGTTACCAAGTGGCTTGAAATGCACTTGATCTCATTGTATCTCGGAAGATAAGGAAGAGCTGAGCATACCCAGATGCTTGAACGGCGGTGGCGAGATGTTACCTACCTCGCCTGGTACATAGCAGGTTCGTGGGTTCGATCCTGAACCCTGACATCTGCTGCTGTATATTTGGATTTTTCGTGTCTCTCTCCCCATGGTCGAGTGTGTTTTTCTCCGGGTCCTGCGGTTTTTCCTCCACATTTAAAATCAATGTGCCTTTCGGCTATTTGGCTGCTATAAATTTCAATGCGATCGTTTGTGGCCAGGTCATGAAAAAGAGCTATATCGCTCTGGGCCTTACCTGGTCAAATAAAAATTGTTTAGAAGTTTAGTTTTCATGGGTTACAACCGTGCTTAACAGGTGCTACATTGGGTGCAGCACAGCAACATAAATTGATGTACTCTACTCATATACCACCCACATGTATTGCTTCCCCCAATCACCAACCCGCACTGACCGGCGTGGCGAAGTATGGTCAAACGATCCCCGACGAGCAGACACGCATGGGGGAGGGAGGCGATCATCCAGCAGTGGATTCACAAAAGGGCTGTGCGTGTAAAAACAATATATATAAAAAAAGCTTTGGTAAATTGGACTTCTTCAAAGCCCATGAGTGTAAGGGGCAAACACTGGGTGCTATGGGCACTTAACACCACCACACTGTAAACAGCGCGTGAATGACCACGTGATGCCTGTGACTGACACTGGGACTGGGTTGATGTTTAACATTCGGAAAACCAACTGAATTTCACAATCGCAGCGGTTAACCTCCAAAAGTACTAATTATTACTATTACAACTGCCCCTTTTCCCACCACTGTGGCACTGACTAAAGCCGGTGGCAGTTGTTGCGATGGTGGAGGTGGCGATTATGAGGATGTCTATGAGGATGTTGCAGACCGAAAGGTGACCCTTGACACCTGCGTCTGCCCTTTGACCTCCAGTCAGCCGGAATTTCACCACTCTGCATGGCGACAACGTGCAACATAGTCTGGCACATGCACCGCCATCGACACAGTGGCGGACGGCAGCCGGTGCTGCTTATGATGAAGGTCGTTGCATTTGGGTGGTGGTCATGTCAGAATCATGGTCGTGGAATTGCAGGTTATGGTGGCAGTGAATATGGTGATGGTGGTGGCGATGTTCATCATAGTGGTGGTGGTGGTGGTGACGGTGGCCACGTTCATTGACTCCAATGGTGGTGATCACGGTGAATATAGTTAAAGAATGTGCACGTGCAGCCCTTTTGTCAATCCACTGCTGGATGAGGGCTTCCCCATGTGGGTCCTAAGGGTTACTTGACGCTACTTCTCGCTGGTCTGGTCCGAGTGGGTTAGCAACTACCGGAAGCATAGAACTGGACCACGGCACAATCCAGGCTCAGATCTGCTTGGTGAATGGTAATTGCAGTAAATATGGCTGTCCCGGTTGTGAACACGTGACAATGGCGGTTGCGTGACGGCAGCGATAGCAATTGTCCCAATGCCGCCGGTGGTGTTGATTATGGCGATTGTGGCGGTGGTGCTTACGGTGGCGATAAGAAAATGATGACAAGCGGACGATAGTGGTCACGTGACGGTGGTGGTCACGCGATGCTACTGGCGGCGGTGGCGGCGATGGCGACGATTATCGTGACTTGGTGGTGGTGTGAAGATGGTGGTGGCTTCACCGCGTTGGCGACGATTGTGCTGATACCCCACCGCTGGTTGGCGGTTGCGATGTTTCCCGCCGTAGGATCTTCCACCGGCACGTTGACATCGCCTCCCATGACCATGATCCACCAGACGGAGGAGAGGGGGCCCGCCGTGGCTTTGCCCGTTTCCCCGTCGCTGAGGAACGGCGACCTGCCCTCCGCCAAGAAGCGCAGCCGGAGAAAGGTGATCATGAACCGACTGCAGGCGAAGGGCTCTAAAAGGCCCGGGTGTCCTGAGAGCATCGAGATCCAGCCGGTGAGAGATCGTGGCGGCGGCAGGAGGTCGAGCCTCGGGGGCGGAGGGACCGCCGCGTCCGCTGGGAGGGCAGCACCAATGTCTGCCAAGGAGCTGTACGTGAAGCACGTGGTGGACGAGTTGGTGGAGACGGAGAAGACCTACGTGGCCAACCTGCGCTCCATCATCGAGGTGCGTGTGTGTGTTGTGCGCGCCGCAGAGCGTGTGGAAGCTGCCTGCCCTACCGCTCCATACCAAGCTCCAGGTCTTCTCGGTCACAGTTATGCCCTCCTACAGGAACACGTGCGCCGGTTTGAAAAGTGAAGGCTGGCCAGCCTATGATACATCCTGGGTTAAACCGATTTTCTGGACACAGTCCTATCGGGGAGCTTCTCTGGCAAGCAAGGCTGCGTTGGTTGGGTTATGTAGGCCTCATGGCCAGCCACCGTTTGCCCAATCATCTTCTGTTTGGCACGGCACGGAATACAGAAGGGATGGGCTGATGCGGTGCAGGATGACTTGGAGCTGAACGGACTTTGGCCTCGATGGAGGAGGCTCGTGACGGACGAGTCTGGGCAGTTGGAGGCAGTCGCCCTCCAACAACAACATCGGATGGTACAAATCAATTTCTGTCGCCCAAACACAGGTGTCGATTCCCGGACTGTCCCGGGTCAAACCCGGACAGGAGTTAAACACGAATCCGTGGCAACCCAAGTAGCAGGGGACAATGCGTGACCCACTCGCACTCCAGCCATGCTCGCCTTAATAGGTGCTTGCCGACTGCGAACGCTCCCGGGCTGTGTAGTCAGATTGAAAACAAGGCCTCTGGGGGGTAGTTTGCGTGTGGGCAAGGTGCGGCGGCATTGTTCAGTAACCACACTTTATTGGAATCCAAGTTTGGTGGGCCAACTTCCTCTATTGCAGCCCCCCTCCCCCCACCGTCTGCCCCATAGCACAGCGATTAGAGCGGAGTGATCGTTCTGTGTTTACAAAGCACGATACAAATAGAGCCCCCCCCCCCACCCCAAGGGAGTGAGTCGATGAATTGTGGTGAATTCGGGTTCTTCATTGCGACCCACAAATGGATTGTTTACCTTTTCCACTCTCTTTAGTTGCACTTTTCTTCTCGCCATTGTTGTTTTGGTCAAGCCGTATTTTTGTGGTCAGGTCGGAATTTATTTCTGGTTGACACGTGGCCCCTTTCTGGCACAAATGGGCCACCCAGGAAGCGCCATAGGTCGAAACGTATCGTGAGTATATAAATCGAAATCAGAATCATGACCATACCCCGGCGTGGGTTGTCGATGATGGGGAGCCGTGTACTTTGGAGCGTAGAAGTACAGTACAAGGATGGAATAGTTTAACACGTAGGCTTTCGCGACCAATATCATCCATAATACAGGTGTATTGGGTTCGATCGCGTAAATATATAAATGTGTTGTTAAACCCACCACCACCCGACACAGCCAACTAGTAAGGATTGTCAAGTAAACAGAACATGCCAATTCGTCACTAGTACAGCACACCGGTGTGTTGGAGAGCCAAGCCACAACAATTACAATCTGAGCACGACGTTTCGCCAGTAATACAACTAGCTTCACCAGGCGGCAGCCAGATCGATGGACTAGCTCGTAACAAAATTTGCAATAATCGCAAAATAATGGATTCTTGCAAACGACAATTCTGCCTGTGTGCGTCTCGAGCATAGGAATCGATGTCCCTCGCCGAATAGACGCTTGGTTACATATCGCCAATGCTGCTCACCGCGGCGGGCAGCGGCGGTGGCGACACAAAACAGCCGAACGGTGCTGAACGACAGATGCATTGTGCCATTCTCAGTTCCAGCGGGACAGGTGTATCCCATGGTTGTAAATAACAAGAGACGGGCCCACAGGGATGTATTTTGTGATGATTGCCAATTACGTGAGAAAAGGCGTGTCGTGCGGTGTGGTTTTCGGTTAGAGTATAAAGACAGATGTGTCTTGCGACCGTCACCGTATTTTGTAGAACGTCATTCGCAATAGAATGACAGATATATGTTGCAGTTGTCAGTGATGATAGATATAAGAATGTTGTGGCTATCATTTGCAACAAAAGTACACAGAATAACAGTAATAACCGGCCCTTGTGCCATGCTAGGTGTACGGACAAAGACAAAGATCCCCCATATAGCCTTTAACAGACTCTTAGGGCAAGTGCTGTTAGCGAGCACCTACGTACAAAGGCCGGCACGGTGCATGAGGGGGTTGGTGGCCAGCGCCACGCCCGACCACCTTTGTCTCCCCAGTGGCAATGTTTGTTCACACTGCTGAGTCGACCTAGAGGAGGCCCAGGACCAATTAAGATAACAGTCGCTGGTGTTGGCCACGAGCGGGAATCGAACTCGGGACGCAGGAGTTCTTAGCGCAGCGTAGCGGTCACCGCCGTACCTACGGACGCACGCTCGCTCGCACGCACAACTCAACGCAAAAACCTCGGGCAGCTGCGCAGCTCTCTGGTGTAGGCCGGGATTGGCTCCGTGTTGTGTGTTGGCCCGTCTTCGTTTTTTTTTTCCTTCCTCCATTTTTCCCGGAGGATTTCCACCGGGCGAGCGCTCTCCGAGGGCGCGGGTTTCTTCACGCTCGCCACGCTCCTTAGCCAGCAGCAGCAGCAGCAGCTGCTGTGCTTGCGACGCAGATGTCGATTTATTGCCGCTGCTCAACCCGTAGCCATGCAAAAGAGAGAGAGAGAGAGAGAAAGAGACGCCAGAAACTCTTTTGTGAAAGGTGGCAGAGGAGCTGCCACCTGACGCGATGTGGAACATCGGCAGCTGCCCCTTCGTCATTCAGGTGCGGTGCGAAGGATTACATCGAGCGGTTGTTTTATTATTTCATTTTATTTCAAAATTTTTTTGAACCCGGATCATCCCTCGAGGTGGAAACAATCCCGCTTGCCCTGGGTGTCAAGTGACACACGCACGGCATGACATATATACACACGCACACACAAACATCTTTAACAATCTACAGCGTGTGCAGTATGTTCTTGGAACGAAATAATAACAAATATCATTATGGAACCTCAACAACGAGAACGTGAAGCTGTTGGGGCAAGTGCTGTTGGTAAGAACCTATGAAGGCCGGCAAGGCACACAAGTGGGTGGGTGGCCAGCATCACGCCTGGCCGCCTTTGTCTCCTTAGTGGTGATGCTTACTTACGGCACTAGGTACTCATATGAGGCTGAGTCGACCTAGGGGAGGCCCAGGACCGCTTCAGATAATCGTCACTGTTGTTGGTCATGAGCGGGGATCAAACTCGGGTTGCCTGGTTCGTAGCGCAGTGCGCTAACCGCTACACCACCACTTCCTACGAAGTCAAATACACACACACCCACGTAGTGCACACCCCCATTGTGTTTTAATGATGATTTAAATTATTTGAAACAGCCGGCACATTTTTCTGTTTATCGGCGGCGATTTTGATTGCGGAAATTCTGCGGTCATCCCGAGTCCCCCCCCCCTCTCAAATCATCAGTCAGTCTCCTCTCTATGGAAGATTGCTCATTCTCTGCTGCAGCGCGCCCCTGTCTGAACGTGACTGCGGCCCCGCTGTTCAGTAACAGCGGGGCATATTTATTTAATGGAGACTGAGAGAGGCAGAGGCAGACTTGTATATATATGTGTGTGTATGATTGAACTTCTTTCGCACCGTATGTAGCCAACCGTGCTAATCGGAGACTTGCGTCATCGGCAGAGGAAGGTTGCGAGTGAACCTGGTGCTGAGCAGAGGCCAGGGAGTCAAGAGCACGGATGGCTGGGGGAAGGGAATCTCAGACTACGACGGACGCTTACGTACACGGCACGATGCACGCGTCGCGAGCGCAAGAAGCTTATTCAAATGGACCAATCGGCGAATCGTTACGCGCCTTACTTTTGAAGTTGCCGCGCAACTTCAAAAATCATTCTCGCAGACACCTGACCCGGCGTGCCAATTGAGATCCAATTGAGTCTCATTTCTCTGGGGGCGCGCGGTGGGGGGTGGGGGGTACTCTCAAGGAGCACGACCCCCAGGACGAGTGCAGCAGCAGCAGCTGCAGCAGCAGCCTCGCTACACCCGCTGTGTCTCGCGGGCGCTGGGGACACCGATCCGTGACCCCGGCTCTCGCCGCGCAAAGTGGCTCGTCGCCAGCTCTTGAGCGCGAGAGCTTTGAAACCGGCGTCTGGAAGCGGTGGCCCGTGCCAGCCTTTTGCAGGCACGGGCAAGCAGCTGGCCGATTTCGGCGCGGTGGGGGTGGTGTGCCCGTAACTCACCTGCCAGATGGTGTCTTCTTACACCGGCTATTGGTCGCGGCCGCGGCAGGGCGCATCTTATTTGCTCTTCGCGGTTGTTGTTGTCGTCGTAGTTATTTTGTTTTGAAGTCTGTGTTCGAGGCAAAGAGCGATGCGGCGTGGGGGAGGCTTTTATCCACAAGCGGATTGACCAAGGGCTTAGTAATTCACTGCCAATATTGTTCACTCCAGTTTATGTCGATGGCTCTCGCTCCGGTTTTGTTCGGCGCTTCATTTCAGCCAGAGCCGCCGCCCGGAACGGAAATTATTCTGAAATGCCACTTTCATGTGGCCTGTGTTTAACGAATGCATTTATAGGATTATCGGCATAATATCAGGTGACGCAACATCGGGTAATACAATAATGTGGGGTAAAATAATCTATGAAACATTACGGGTAGGCATGTGCCTTATGCTCTGGTGGTTGTGTCTTATTGCCTTTTATGGCGAGCGTTCTGGAAAATATCGAGTGAGAAAATAAGCCCCTGCTGCTTATATTCCCTAACGTCACCGCCGCTGTTTGTGGCGAGAGCTTGCGCGGGATCTGTTGCACTGGCAGCATCCGTTACCACCCTCTCAAAAAAATACCTTTCCTCCTCTCCCTCCATCACCAGCTGGCTGACTGGAAATTTTCACGGCAACCTTATCCACTGCGAGAAAAGCGAAGCCGGATAACCTGCGCGGTCAAATTCGTTTTTTAGGCCGTGCTCATTTCTCTTTGGCGGTCTCCCCAAAAGCTGTTTTCATTTTTATTTTCAGGAGATGTTTGGCTCGAGATGCCTGGCCAGTCGCCAAGAATTTTAGGGCGGTGGATAAAATGTACGCGCAGATCGCACCCGATTATGTGACCTATCCAGTGGTCGCCGGATTCACCTCCCCACCACC